CTTCATGCCTCTTTGGTTGTATAAGTTCATTCTCTTGGCAAATGTGTTCCTGATTGTCACATTATTTTATATGGCACTTCTAATAAACTAGCACCCCGATTGTATGGGTATGCTTCCTGTCTCATTCTTTTAATTCTTATACTAAAGCATACAATTTGTGTAATACTATGTATTTTCTATACACTACCATTTTTCTATTTTTTTTTCCTTTTTGAAGTGCAGAGTGTTGTTTCCAGCTTCTGGACAGAAACAGCTAAGTCTCAAAACTGAACACTGTGTGGGAAAAAAACACAGCTATAAATGGTTCACAGACTACGACCACCAGTCATTTGCAAAGCCTCATCTATACCATGAGTCGAACGGCTCTAATGAACTTCTTTTTACATTTTTTTTCTGTATGGATTTATCATTGCTTTACAAGGAATTCCTCAAAGCTGTTGTGAGTGAAGTAGAAGTTGAATTAATGCCATTTTCAAATTTTGATGCTACTGGCAGAGTTATTTACAAAATGCTTGTTCCCATTTATCTTGAGATGCAACTCAAAACCTACATCAGGATATAATCAGAGGTATTTTCAACTTTGAAAACACCCATTTCTTCCTGCATTTGCCTTATAATGCATAGAAGAAGGAACACATTTTTCCATTTCTTAAATGTCTTTAGTCATGTTTTATTTGCAATCATATAATTTTGAAGTTCTTTTTGCTGCAAAGCAAACATACACACCAATTAGAGATAATGTATTAATGGACTCCTTATTCTACTGAAGCTAATCTTAAAACAGAAATATGGCAAGCCATAATGCCATTCATGGGTCCATTGAGGGCTGCAAAGTTAATGAAGCAAGACAAACATTCTGAATCTACACCTGTGGGTCAACTTTCCATCTGGTAAAGGGGAGAAGCCTATAAAATAACCCAGTAACATATATACAATATGGGGCATGCTTACAATCTTATCTGTAAGACAAATGACTACTAAATACCAGACTTCTGCCTAAGCACATGACATACATCTGACCTTATCTAATATCTATAGCTGCCTAGAACAGTTACTGTTGTTATGATTATTCCAACTTCACATATCAAATAATAAAAGACAAAGGATTAAAAGATGGTACAGTAACCGGGCTGTGGTGACGTCTGGGCCCAAACTGCTGCCAAGGGCCATGTCTGGGTCCTTGGAGCTGCTGGAGTTGGGGGTCTGCGATGATGTCCATGGACCGTGTTAGCACAAGGGCTCATTGGAGCCATGCTATACTGAGCCAGCGCCATCATTCACTGGCCCTGGGATAGCTGGCCCTGCCCCTGGGTGGATACTGTAGTAGGGAAGCTGGCCCTGCCCCCTCAGGGGAGAGTACTCAGGAAAGGTAGTTCCATCCTTCACCACAGGAGTGCACCTCACTTGGCCAGCACATTGGAGACAGCTCTGAGGGCCCAAGAGCAACAGCAGACCCACCTACCCTTGTTCCACCTAGCAGGAATGAGGGAAAGATGCCTTCCTACCTCAGTCCCTTGCTACCTGTCACAAGTGAGAGAGTTGGCCCCTGGGTCACAAGAGTGAGAGAACTAGCTCTGCCCCTCATCAACTGCAGTACACAGAAGAGTGCCTTGCACCCCACCTGGGCAGCATACTAGATCTGATCCTGTTATTGGGGGTGCGGGGTGTGGACATAGGTGAGCCAGCCCAGAGGGCTTGAGGACAGGAGAGCTTACTCCCCACCCCATATGTCCCCTACAGCAATCAGGAGAGAGGTTCCTGCACCCTGCCTGGACAAAAGAGAAGAGCTGGCTCTGGGAATATGAATGTGGATGACCTGGATCTGAGGACCTGAGAGCAGGAGAACTGGCCCTGCTCCTTGCTACAGGCTGCAATGGGTGAGCTAGCCGAGGCAGTGCTGAAGAGCTTGCCTCGGTACTGACCATGAGGGAAAGTTGGTAGGCTGACCAATCTAGGTACCACCCAGACCCAGAATTAGGACTTAGTTAGCCTACCCAGACCAACATCCACTGAATCTATGAACTGTTGGAACATGTAAAAGGGAAGAATCTACAGATCCAAAGCAGCAGGATCTCCATGACACAGTACAACAGAATATCTAAGAAGCAGCCCAGTGAGGGCCCATTATTGGTGGTGTAGCAGAAACCAGAAGCCTTGAGTCAGACCAATGACTCAGGCAATGAACACTTGTAAGTAAAGATGGATCCACTAAAGCTAAACTGTATGAAAAGAAACTTAGGGTCAGAGAGATGGGTCCAAGCACAGATACACTTCTCTAGGACATGCCCCCAGAAACCCATTTCTTCTTTTTTTTTAAAAAAAAAAGCTCCAACTTACACAATAATGGCACCTCTGCCTCATGATCCAATCACTTCCTTAAAGCCCCACCTTAGAACCAGGACAAACCATTCACTACGTGAGACTTTGACTGGACTCTTTATATACAATATCAATAATCCAAAGAAAGCTCAAAGAAGTTTCACACATGTCTTCACACATATATCTCATTGAACCCACCTTCTTTTTAATAACTCCTTTATTGAGGGTTAGATTCTGAGTAAATCAGAGTATAACATAATTTACAAATCCAAAATCTTTTCTCAAGAACGTCTGATTTAACTTGTTACAGTACCAGGGTTGCATGAAGAACATAATTGATAGAATGAATATATACATTTCAATGGAGTTGCTGCATTTGCTTACATAGTAATGTCTGGAAAGTCCAACAGTGGTTGTCTTCACACTAGAGAAGATAAGAACCCATAAGACTAGGCACTTCAGGGGTCCTATTGTGGCATTGTAAGTCTGGAGGATTCCTGAAGAGCTATGGGTCCTTTATTCCACATGGAAGACCAAAGAACTTGCTTTCTGACACCTGGTAAGGATGTAGCAGTAGCCCAAGAAAAATATAAGGTAGATGAACTTGCAAACATGGTCATGAAATCACTCCCAGAATGAAAGGCAATGAAGGAAAGAAAAAAACAACAGTGAAGCTTTTCCCAGAAGGTTCTGCTTTCATTTAACGTGGCTCTTCCTGTATCAAATAACCTGATGAAAAAAAATCCCTTACAGGTGTGCTCAGTGGGGTTCTCTTAGTTGATTCCACATCCACTCTAGTTGATAATAAATGTTAATCATTGCGACTGCTATAGAATAAAAAAGAGATCATTTTATTATTTAAATGGCGCTTAAATATTTAAAAATTCTAACTAAAGGTAAAATAATAGCAACATAGTTCTGTGAATGACATATATACTGACTGTAAAAATTAGAAGTCCTGTATTCAGTCCAAACAATTTCTTATATGTTTTCAGCTCAACAAATTTATTTTTAAGTCTCCTACCCTCCATTGAAGCAATGTAGACATGGCTAGTTAGGAGGTGTCATCATCTTACATCCTAAGATTGAAACTCCAACATGGACTGTTGCTTCTGATTTTAGAAAAATATAGAGCTGTCAATACTCTATCTGATTTGAAAAAAGTCTCTGCCTATTGAATTACATTGGAATTTAATTTCTATTAATGAGTTGGAAAGTGTGTACTTCTGTATCTTTGGCTTTTAGAAGATTCACATATGTTGTATGTGCTAAACACATACCTTCATCTCTGAAAATGCTCAAGCAGACCTTTACACACAGGTCTGAGCACAAGTTTCACATTTTAATTCAAATATTTTAACATTTTGTCTGATTGGATTTGTATTCAGCCATCTCAAATAATACATGGAAATCAACTATGGGAAGAGGCAACATAATGAAGCAGATAAGCAAGAACAGGCTTGTGGTGCAGAAAGCAATAAAAACAATAGCTATAACATGTGTAAAATGACAATACAGATGGTAGAATTTTGTGTATCTGAGAAAAAAATCAGCTGAAAGTATTCTGCTGAAGCACCTCATTCCTTCACTAACACAAAATTATACACAGTTAAAATCTGTCTTCATCTTCTTTTCTCTCTCAGCAGCATGGCCTGATTTTGTGAAATGTGTTCTCCTTATCTGAACAGAACCTGTTCCTCATAGAGCACAGTTCACGTTCCTTCATCTTTTATCCTGACACTCATTTTCTGAGTCCATTTTAAGGTAGGACTGTCTTCCTTTTTATGTCTTTTTATAATTTTTAATCTTTTCTCCTGCCCCTTTATGTTTCTTGCATCATGGTTTTTGTTTAATCAAAATTTCATTTCCAGAGCTAAAGAGATGTCTTAAGTTGTCAAGCGTGCTTGCTGCTCTGGAAGAGTGCAGTTTGGTTTCCTGGTCTATTTCAGATGGCTCTAAACCTTCTGTGCCTTCATTCTAGAGGGCCCCAATGTCCTCTGGCTTCCTTAGTCTCCTATATTCTCATGTTGCACATAAACAGGCACACAAAGAGATGTGAATACATCATTAAAAACAATATGTTTATTTTGGAAGAGTTCAACTCACCAGATCATTTGTGTTTGTTTCCCAATGGTCAAAGTAAGTCTTTTAGGGATACCTGGAAGCAAGAAATGTTCAGAGTGCTTCTAGTTGGAAAGCCAAGAGCCCCACAAAGGCTCAGATTGCTTTGTTTTATGTGATAAAAGAACTCACACAACCCAAAATGGACTGCTAATGCAAACCCAGCAGGAGAAAACTATTTGGGGTCTAAGTATCAGGCTAGCCCAGGGAGTATTCCTGTCTGTTTGGCTTATATCATAGTCCTTATTCACAGGGCTTCAACTTGATGGGACTTGGAGTCACCTAGGAGACACTCTTTGGGGCATGCCTGTGAGGACATTTCCAGAAAGGTTTTGCTGAAAAGGATAGACCCACCCTGGATGTAGGTGGCACCATCCAATGATGGAGAAGCCAAATAAAGCACCATTCTCTCTCTTCTTCTTCCTCCTCCTCTCCTCTCCTCTTCCTCCTCCTCCTCCTCCTCCTCCTCCTTCTTCTTCTTCTTCTCTCTCTCTCTCTGTCTCTCTCTCTGTCTCTCTCTCTGTCTCTCTCTCTCTCTCTCTCCCCCTCTCCCTCTCCCTCTCTCTCTCTCCTTTCCTTCCCTCCTCTCATCTTTCCTCTCTTCTTCCATTATTGCAACTACCTCACACTCCTGCAGTCATAGCTTCCTACACATGATGGACTGTATCCTTCCTTAAACACAAGCAGAATAATCCTTTCCTTCCTAACTTACATTTGTTGAGTATTATTTCAAGATAATGAGAAAAGTAACTAATTCATCATGTATCTTCTCCTAGGCTTGGCACTTCATCTTGGTTCCTAGGAGCCTCCTTCTACTGAGGCCAATGTCCCATGCTGATTCTTTTCCTAGTAGCATAGGTTGTGATAGAGAATTTGAAATGAGTTCCTACCTGCTGCCACTGCTTTTCCTTGTCTGCAGCTTACATGAACTACATGATAGCCTTACAAGCTATCACGTACCATGACTCCACTTGCCAACAGGCTTGTGTATGGTAGCACATGCCCAACCAATTGAGGGTTTGTTGCTTCCTGGGAATATTTTGTTTGTTTTATAAAAATATTTTATGCTGATACAAAAAAATATTTTCTCTGCATAGTCGCATCATCTACATAGCAACTTTCAAGGATGAATCCCTCACAGTGTCCTCATCATATTGACCTTTGAAGTAACTCATGTATGGTATAGTTCGCCAGTTATTGGACTTGATAGGAATTTTACACTATATGTCTGGGTTTTTTTTTTTACGAGAATAATGCATTTGAGTTTCACCAGTGCTGCTGCATGTATAAGAAGATCCTTCTTGTTTTCTGTATAATTGCTTTTGACAACTATTTGATACAATTAATTATTTCAGTTGATGCCACTGGAAGCAATTACAGATAAGCAGTTCATGAGGACACTGCTTAGTTTACTTGAGCAAACACATAGCAGCTTGCTCTCTGTGTTGCGTGTTTGCTGTGTATTAAATGCAGAGCAGCACTTGCCTGTCTTCCACAGGGCAGGACCAGCTCCCATCTCTGCAGGTACCATTTGAGAGCTCTAGTTGTCCCGAACTCCCATCCAACTTTGGATTGTCAGGTGGTTTTCTCTCTGCCCATTCTGCAGATGTGGTTACAGCATCATTTGTCCTGCTGCTTCTTCTCTGTCAATAGTTAGTCCAATCCTAAAAGCCTGTCTCCTAAATAAGCACCTGATCCACTGGTGAGACAATTTACTTTATCGTATTTCCATAACAACTATGAGTTGGAGTTGTGGCTCAGTGGCAGACCACTTTATTAGCATACATGAGGTCCTGGATGACATCCTGAGCACCATAAAAAAATAAAATAAAAACACAAATAGTGGAGAGACATACTGAGGTTTACTGAAAGCCAACAATTGCATCCAAACTGTAGAAGAGTGATGTGAAATGCTGTCTTCTGTGTGTGACATGCATATTATAAACATATAGCAATTATGATTACCCACATAACGATCAAGTCAAAATGTTCTGTTGTTGATGGAAATGACCTTCTCCAGGCACTATCCTTCACTGAATAGTTATTACCAGTTGATAGTGACTTGGCATGGAGGCTCACTCTGTGTGTGTGTGTGTGTGTGTGTGTGTGTGTGTGTGTGTGTGTGTGTATTTGGTCATTTGTATAGGTTGTACATAGTCCAGTAGATGGCCCCATTCTTAGGCACATGTGAGTAGCATTAACTAGACGTAACAAGTTTTCAAAAACACAGCAAAAAAGTGGACATGAAGTTGGGAGAGGGATGTGGCAGAGGTATAGCATGGAAATAAAAAGTGAGAAATGGCAATGGATATGATAATATTTCATTGTATATCTGAATGAAATTCTTAAAAATTAAAAAAAAACAAAGAAATCTTGAAAATATGTGTCAGATACTCTTTCTGATAAGATATTTCATAATGAATTTGATATCTAAATTACCCAATTCTGGGTATTTAAATTCTAGTGACCGGTTCACTCTGTTGAAGTTATTTTTCTGTTACTTAAGCCGCTTCACCCTTAACATGAACTTGTATGTAATTACTGATACTTCTGTGACAATTAGGACAGGTCATGACACATTTACTTATTTGTGGATACCTTGTTTTCACTACCAAACTATTAGCTACTAGAGCACCTAAGCCATACCCCTTCAATGACTTTTGCAAAAAATAAAAACCTGGATGAGAGTAATAAGTTTTCTAAATGATTCTGAAATCATAATGATCTGAGTTGAATGATATATAAAGAAATGTTTAAGTCAATTTTGCTACATTGTTAATTACTAGTATTAAAATGGCAATCTTACTAGTACTCTAATCTTAATGGTCCTCATTGGAGGTGATGCTACTATTCATAGGACATTGTCGACATGCAGAGATATCTGTGAAAGATGCCAAGAATCGTGTGGCATATCATATAGTGCAAAGGGAAATGCCACAAAACATAAAAATCTAACAAAAATATATAAAAAATTTTGTAGTTCAAAATTGACCGTATTAATTCTTTGAGTTTTATTTTCATGTTTTGCTGAGATGGCTATGCCCAAGACCAATAGGGTTCACTAAGAGTCTATTCTTGATTGATCTCAGTGATCCATAAAAAGCCAATTTCATCTTTATCCTCATGATCATCACTATCATCAGCAACAATAGCATTCTGAAATTACATATTGAGGAGGTTTAAAGGATGTTAGTCAAATAAGAAAGGAATCTTGAACATTTGAAACCCATTTATCAAGACACTTAGAGAACCAACATCATCATTAACATCATTCAAATCTCTCAGTCAATATATCTACTTTGCTACCTGCATAAATATAGTTAAAGACATAAAATATTTTAGAAAGACAGGTTATTTTTCTTGTTATACACCAATATTTTCTGGGATCAAGTTATCTGTATTTCCTATTTTATGACCTCTTAGTCTTATAAATTGTCATGCTGCGGCCTTTTGTGTAGAGTTTTGAATTTCTAAAGTAACATGTGTAAGAGATTTTCAGTGAAAGAAAACTCAGATCCACCCCAAAGTGGTCGGATATTTAAGAGAATTTACTTATGAAACAAATATAAGGTAGCACATTATCTCTTTGAGGTTCTTATGGGAAGCATATAAAAAAGAAAAAAGATTCCCTAAAGTGTACAATGTCTATTGAGCATTAGGTAAAATAATTATTCCCCAATCAGTGACTTAAACACTGGTGTATTCATGACCTAACATCTCAAGGTATTGGGTCTCTGAGTACAGCCTGGCTGAGCATTTTCCTCTGGGTCTTACTAGGCTGTAAATTATGTGTTGTTAGACCATGGTCTCATCTGCAGACCCAAGTAAGAACAAAACCACTTTGACCCCCTTTCACATTTCTAAAATGATTGGTCTGCTGCTATCTGTACATCTGAGAGTGCTAGCATCTGTCTGTTTACTGTGAGTCTCCCATAGGCCCCTGTTGGCTAGAAAATCCCCTACTCTGTTATATTAATAAGGAAATGCGCTGAACTTTCCTGTTTCATCAATGACATGCCTCTGAAGCACTGAAGGAGTTGATTAAATCATTATATTCTATAATTGACTTTCTCACTTTTTTTGTTTCAACATTGAACCTTAATGATTTATGAAATTTTGCTCAAAGTTTGAGACAGATTTTCAATTTGGGAAGGTGTAAACTAATGTTTTTAAAATTGATTTTGATTAGCTTCTATTTCTAAAGGAAAGTAGTATATTTAACTGTAGTTTTTCTTTATTTTTCAGAAACATGACTGTTTTCTCTGACTTATGGAAACAAACATACAGATTTGTTTAAAGAAAGTTCAATAAGCCCTATAAAAATATATATTCCAGTTAAGCTTTACATGTGCTCCCTCTGCAACAGGGAGAAGGAGGGATCATTAGCTTTCAATGCACAAGGAGCCTGGTTACCAGATTCTAAAAGAAAAAGAAAAAGAATTAATGGGAAATAAGCCATATGCAAGTCATATAAAATGTACTATTTCAGGTAAAATATAGCTGAAAACTCAATGTAGATCTCAGATTAAGCCTATCACTGGAAAAATTGGACATATTAAAAAGTCTGGTTATAATACCACATTAAAGAGAGAAGTGGATGAAAGGAATGAAGGAGTACAAACTGTAGTTTACATTTATATATGAAGACAGCATGATGAAATCCATTGCTGTGTATGCTAACTTAAAAATATAATCAAATGAGATTACTACAGATTTAACAACTTGATATACATATAAGCAACATGAAACAAGAAAAGTAAAATGAAAATAGTAAATACATTTACTCTTCGTTTACAGCTTACTTAAATGAATTTGTCTCATTTTAACAAGATACCCTGATTTTAATTTCATGATTGCTTCTTTTTCACCTGAAAAATCAAATAAAATAAGTCATGTTCTTTTTCACATTGGTATTTGTTACTTTTGAAACATAGTTGTACTTCCTTCTGGAGTATAGTCTGATTAAACTGATAATGTAATTTACAAAGTGTGATGATCAAACTAGGAACGTTTTTATCTCCTTAAAATTGCATCACCTTGTACTGGTTAGTTTCAAAATCTTCTGGTCATTTGTAAAATATATATATATAATATATTCTTATAAATTTATACTCTAATACCATTCAGATATATAGTTATTTGCCTATTGATATTCCATCTAGACATACAATCTATGGTTGAAAGTAGGGCTTTTCAGTAACCTAATATTATTTTACTGCTACTTCTCTCACACTGATATGTCAATATAGATTTCATATATTTATATGTTCTGGTGTTAGGTACATCCATATTTATAATACTTTTATTGCATCTCGAAGAAGTGACAGTTTTAACATATATGGCTTTGACTCTTAGAAATTTTTTTACTTAAAGATAATATTTTATGATATAAATCAAAGTTCATGTAAATGGAGTTAATATTTGGATATAGACCACAGCAAGTAGCGAATTGTATTATGCTTAGGCATCCCAGGGAGGGGGGGGTGTCCAAAACTGAAGAAAAATCCCCAAATAAGTCATTCCTTAGCCATATCAAAGGAAGTATGGCCATGATAACACCATGATATTGGAGTTCTGGACCCTTAATCTGACAGACAATAAATTAATATTTTTAAGGAATTATATTTGTGTTACATAAGGTAGAGATGACAGAAAACCCACAGAGGGACTTACATCCTGAGGTGAAATTAGATACTTTTAATAAGCAATGGAAATAAAAGCTAGAAAACAGCATGAAAAGGAAAATACCAAGATCTTCATGTGATCATATGGGGCAATAAGAAACACACTACATCAATGGCAGGTACCAAACCTGCAAGCCTTACCAGTTTTACAAATTAATTACACTGGTTTGCACCGCTTATCCCATCTAACCTGTTGAATACACTGGCCTTAGATTGGAATGTTTTCAACTATCACCTAGTTCATTGTCAATTATAATGATCCATACACTGTTGTTTTATCTTTCATCTTCTGAATTCTGTCTTTTAGCTTTTCTTTTTCATCATACATTATAAAGCAGACAAAGAAGCCACATGCGGGTATACAATGTCTTAGAAATAGTCACTAACCCTCAAAACATATAAGCGGTGATAGCGGCTTGATTCCTTAGACTATTTTGTAAAAGAGATGTAACTATTTTCTGGGGCTTCAGATAATTTCAGTGTTGTGTGATATGATTCAATAGTGATGAATGAAGTGAAACAAGGATTTTGACATGAACAAACATACAGAGTTAATCTCCTTTTGCTGTATGTGAGAAACAAGAGAAATGGAAGTAAAGAAATGAGCTTCATTCATACCTGAATTACTGCAGTGTAAGCAAATGAGGGTGAGGAAGTCAGTCGTACATTGAGGAGGAAGGCAAAAACAAGTTTGCCTGAGATAGTGGAGAATCAGTCAGGAAGAACTTCAGTCAGTTGACATGTTCTGCAGACATGATAGCCCCTGCTGCTAGGCACAAAAATCTAGAATTAACTCCATGAAAACTAAACAAAAGAAAGAATTTGTATTCTATTCATCCTGTGTGGCTTTGAATAAAAATCTTTGCTCAGAATATGGGTGTTACAGATGAGTCGTGGGCCAGGGCATAGCTGGAAGGAACATGGATATCACCTTTGCCATTGGTTTTTCAGTAATTCTTTTTCCTGAAGGAGAATAGCTCAAATGACTACTAGATGCATATACGCAGCCCATAATTCTTTAACAGTTGTTTAGATGTGGGGGATGGCCATGGTCTTTAATAGTTCTGTTGTATTAGGTGTCTCTAAACAGGTTTGGATGTATTTTAATGTAGTTTCAAAAGAGTGGGCCTGGGTTTTAAGTGGTTGGGATGAGAAATAGTGAATCTGAGAATCACCTGGAAATCTCTGTTATTATCACTCTGCAATTAAAAAAAAAAACTTTTATTTATTCTTCTGTCGTACAATATATCCCAACCTCAGCTTCCCTTCCTTCACTCCTCTCAGTCCCACCCACCTCCCCCTCTCCTAGATCCACTTCCCTCACCTCCCCTCAGAAAAGAGCAGGCTTCCCAAGAACATCAACTGAAAATGGTACACCAAGATACATTAAGACTGGGCAAAAATCCTCACATCAAGGCTGGGCAAGGCAATCCAGTAGATGGAAAAGGGCCCCAAAAGCAGGCAAAAGAGTTAGAGACACTCCAACTCCCAAGGTCAGGCATCCGTCCAAAACACCAACTCAACAACTATAGCATATATGTAGATAATGTTATATCTCTGTAGGAGTTGTTGGCTCTAGAATCATGAGAGTAACACTAGAAGGTCTGGCTCAAACTTTCTTTCAAATTGGTTTCCTAATACACACTTTAAAACAAAGTCTAAGGAATAATTCCTAAAACACTCATGTTGATGCAGTCATAAAAATGAAGATTAGTGGAGAATAATACCTTTTTATTGCAACACAAGTCTACACTCTACAATAATTTTAACCTGCATCAAATTAACCATGGACATTTATTCATCATGATAGAATTTTTATCACAATTTCAGGATATTGTCTTCAAATGTCTCTTTTACTGACTTTTTCTTCAGTGGGCTCTTGGCACTACATGTGGTGGCAATCTGCTTTTCTTACTTGATCACATTTCCCACTTAATAAGACATTTTTGTCACATTAAAGATGTGCACAAAGGGCTAATGGAGTTCAGTTGGTAAAGTGCTTGCTGGGCAAACATAAACGTCTGAGTTCGTTTCTTAGCACCTTTAAAATGGCCCTGCATAGTAGTATGTGCTTGTAATCACAAAATTGGGGAGGCTAAGACAACTGATATACTGTCTGCTACACAGACAATTTAATTAGTAAGCCTCTAGTTCCTATGACAGATGCTGTCTCAAAGAACAAGGTAGATGCATACAGACTAACATATATCAATAAATAATAAAAACTAAAAAATATATAATAACATGGGATGAGAGATGGATTTGTGGTTCAGAGAACCAGGATTTGACGTTTAGCACCAAAACTGAGTGGCTCTCATTTCCTGTACCTAGCTCTAGGTGATCTCACCCTCTTTTGTACCCTGACGGCATCTGTAGGCACGTGTATATGCACATACAGAAACATGCATACACATGCACATAAAGAATAAAATAATTATTTTAGTAGAAACAATGTCTGGGGAACAACACCTGTAGTTGATCTATGGCATCCAGATTTATGTTTATTCCCTGGCACATACTTACCAACTAACACAAACACATACATACTCATATTCACAGATGCACTGCAAAGTAAATTAAAAAGTACCAAAGTTTACAAAATTATGTACTCAAACTTAATCCACAAACACTATGATAATGATAAATAAAAATAAATTAGGTTAACGTTCACCCTCATATAAAAGGGAAAAGCATAAACTAAAATGAATATCCAGCACTGGATGAAGCAAACAATAAATGGTAATTACTCCAAGTGACAAGTGATGCTTTGACACTGGCAATTTGAAAGGATGAGAGAAAGTAAATGAATAATAACTTCTATGAACTACAAATTAAAGACCATGAGAAAAAGCAATGAATGCATTTTATGTACCTCTCCTAACCTGAATAATTTATCATACGGGTTATTTAAAGGGGGAATTGGAAGAATAGGAGGCTCTTTAGTGAGGTGGGGGTGATAAATAAAGAAGAAGATGGGAGGAAGGTAAAGGGGAATAACAAGATACAAGTTATCTGATAGGGAAAAGGCAAAGTGGGGGCTCCTTATGGAAAGAGGAAGGAGATAAACACAGGAGGAGGGAAGTAGGTTGGCAAAATAAACAACGTAAATACCTGAAAAAGCTACAAGAAATCATACAATTAACTACCTAAAAGACAAAAACCTACAAGATATGTAATTAAGTATATAAATGTACATGTAAAAAGTTTTTATGAACTTTTCTTATCTGGGGATGGTGATCCCGCCAAGAAACAAAGTCCATTTAAAAACATTCCAATACTGGACACTAGAAACCCACTTTGGACGTTTTGGCTAGTGCTGTCAAAAAGATTCCCAACATATACAACTTATGGGTGTTGCCCTTGGTTTCTCCCCAGAGGTGGAAGGTAAGTCCCTACTGCAGAAGGCACTGCATACTTTGTAAGTGAGGCACAGAAGCCACTGAGATGGAACTAACCTGAATGTCCCCTCTCTGAGGACTAGCTTTTATGGTGCTAGAAGGTGCCATTCAAGCTTCCAAAAGAGAGTCAACCAACAGCCCTAACCAATTACGAATCACATCAATGACCAGCATGGCATGATAACTCTCTACATGTGTATTAATGGCACACATAACTTTGTTGTAACTAATGGCTCTCTAATTGTCCTTAAGAAACACTCAACAAGACAGATTATGCCTGGACTGAAAATCTACCTAACTACTCAATGAAATCATGGTTATTGGAGAAGAATCTACAACCACTAAGTTACTAAGTCAGTATAATTCCTAATAATAGTTTATAAATATTTGTCCTTACTCTCACAAATAAGTGTCATCTTCATACCTTATGTTTCTCTTTGCAACAGATGGAGACCATTACAGAAAACCACAACTTATCAATATTAAGAGTTGTGGAACCCAGTCCCAGTGGATGTACCCACAAAACACCCCCCCACACACACCCAAGGCTCAGGGAACACTGTAGAAGAGGGATTGGAAAGATTTTGAGAGCCACAGGATGAGGGACTTTGGTGTAAGATTGTATCTCCTAGTGATATCCGAAGCTACACCCGTAAAGTCTCACCACCATGACTGCCCAAATGTGAGATGAACAAGGAGGACACCAATGAATATGTCAGACTGGATGTGGGGAAGACCACAGGGCCTCTACCCTACACAAAGAGCTATAAGCCAACAGAATACAGCTGGGAGGGAGAGGGGTGGCCCTCCCGAGAGAAGAGCATAACAATTGGTTGTCCAGTGTCAAACAGTCAGCACAGACAACAAACATACGTGTAACATATGAACTCAGCAGGTTATATTTGGGAACATTCAAATACATTTTTGAAGATGTATTTTTTGAAAACAACTTTTGAAAGGAGAGGCCATGAATTTGAAAGAGAGTAGGGGGGGTATATGGGAAGGTTGGAAAGGAAGAAAGGGAAGAGAGGAATATTGTAATTAAAATACAATCTAAAAATATAACGATAATAATTTATCATTATAAATGGAAAGAAAAAACTGCTGAGAGTTGTTATAAATTAACATATATGAGTTAAGATTTCTTCACCCAAAAGATGCATTTTAGATTTCCATCAGTATTCTTTTTCTTTTTTATTGAGAATTTCAAACTTATATGTAACATATTTTAATCAAATCCACCATTCCTCCATTCCCTTCAATCCTCTTTTTCCCACCATGATTATTTCCCAACTTCATGTGCTGGCTCTGCTTTTAAACCCACTGAAACCACTTAGTGTAACCTTTATGTGAGTGATGGTAGGACTATCTTCTGCAGCATCGGGAACCTACCAGAGCCCTTATCCCTCTCCCAGTGGCGATCAATTGCAATAGTGCCTCAACTACTTGTGGAACACCATGCGGCACTCTACCATGCATAGTGGTACTTTGGCTAGATTGACTTTGTAAAGGTCTGGTGCATGTAGTCAGCCACCATGAGTCCATGTGTACAATGCCATTTGCATGTCTGTCAAACACTGATACACTGCAGACTTCTGACTAATAAATAATTTCAATCCATTGTCTATGATAATCCCAAGTAGGAAATATGATAGAGTTGTCCTACTTAGAATTTAGTTCTACAGAATCTCTTATTCTCTATACTCTAACCAGCTGTGGTTCTCTCATACTATTGTTTCTTTTTTGGTTTTTTGTTTGTTTGTTTTGTTTTTATGCTTATCTCGTAAGGGCTGAAAGAAGTACTAATCTCTGGCATGAAAATAAAAACACAGGGGGCAGATTATTACTATGACTGTTAAGCAGAATAACAGTATTGATTTTTTCCCTTGGGTTTGGGTTAGGGATTCAGTTAACAGTACCAGGTAGGAGTTCTCTCTTGGAGAGCAGGCATTAAATCCAACCATAAAATTTTGCACCAGTAGGTATACATATCTTGGCAGACCAGATATTATTGTAGCTAGCAGTGTTCACAAATGAATAATAGAAGAAAAACTAGATATGAGACACTCTTACAGCTACATGACTTTCTTAGAGTCCAACAATATACATTGGAGAAAAGATAGCATCTTCAACAAATGGTGCTAGTCAAACTGGATAATGAAACTAGATTCTTATCTCTCATTCTTCACAAAACTCAAATCCAAATGGATTAACATTGTGTAAGAAGACTTTTCCCGGGGAAATACCACATGCATTTCTGCTCACCCCAGATAGGAATGCATAACATACCAAAGTTCAATTTGGCAAATGAAAGAGGTTTTTGTTGTTGTTGTTTACTTAAAGTAATATAGGTGAGGAGTTACTTACA